TATGCTATTGGCTAACTACGAGGCTCCAATTCTCACAGTAAGTCTCTGTATGTTTAAATCGTTAGACATAGTGAAAAAGCTTTCAGCTACAGTATTATTCTTTTGGTGTGCTTGTGTTGCATGTGCAGTCTATACAATAAGAGTTTAGTTTATTAAGATCCCCATTAGCCACTGAGATGAAATGGCTATCTATTCTTCCTGGGGTCTCCTCAAAATATCATACAGGCTCTTACCATGGATCTATTATAATCTCTTAAACATTTTTAAAAATAAATCTTCTCACACACCCACGACGACATAAAAGCTCATTAGAATCAATTACAAAATATATAAAAAACTATTACTAAGTACGTAACAACAACACTTGGATGTCTTTATGCAGATTTGCACAGGAAATAATACAATTGTGCACGTTTGTAGAAAAAGATTTTTTTTTAATCATAAATAAAACAATTAACTGCCAGGACCCTGTGCCATTTAAAGGAGCTATACTCGATTTATTTTCTAATGAGTTCATAAAAATGCGTTTTACTACATACAAGTTGTAATAAAATCCGTAATTTTATTGAAAACTTGAGCTCATTGATTGCTTGTGTATGAATTTAGGCCGTAAAAAGTGCTGAGTAGAGACTTAGCGGGACACTCGTTATCCTCCACTCACAGAACGAGGCTGTGTCCTCTAGCCTCTACAGCGCTGCTGGTAAACACTGCAGCATATTAGCAGAAAGTGGCTAGCTCCTCTGGCGGGTAAATGTATGTAGCGTTGGCTTCAATAGTATTTTCTGGAGAGACCAGCGGGAGAGGGATGTGATCGGACATTTGGACGCGAAACTAGCGGTAATCTTTCAGTTATATATTGTGTTAGCAGTGCGTTGCTTTTGTACCATTTCATCAGTGATTGTTGTACAGCTTACAAGAAGTTGCGCTAATGCTAATGTTTGCATACGTATCAGATTGCAAATAAAACTAGATGGAAGCCTGTGAGCGAGTTGGTGCTAAACATTCAAACTAAGAAAAACCTACTGTAGCAGAAACGGGTATAGCTCCTTTAAATATAGATACCCTTCTTTTTAGTTTCAACAATATATACTCATATATACTTACTCTTGTAGACATACGTACGTTTATTTTTACACATTTTATATATATTTATAATATATCATGATTATATTTATATTATTGTGATTAAATGTTCATATGTGGTACTTGTTAAATTGTTGAAAAGAGCTCCAAATCTCCACTGCCATTGGACTAGATTGATAATGATCCAAAGTACAAAGAGGGTGCAATTCTCAAGGATCGATCGCAACTACGAATCAGCCAGATGCGTAACTGACATCGTCAAAAAACAAAGCAACACAGACTGAGACCAATTTTCTTACGTTATTCCTCACTTGGTTATTAAATGCCTTCAGCAGTGACTGGCTTCTTTTTGAGACTCACTGTTGTACGTTTTATATCCCACTGTTTAGTTGTTAATGCACCACTGTTATTGATTAGTATGTATTCAATACAGGTCATTGGTGTCTAATCGGGGACATCTAATGACAAAAAGTTGTTTTGTGTAGACAGTAGACATATTTAACATAACAAAGTTAATAAGCATCCATCCATCCATTTTCTACCCCTTAATCCATTTCTGGGTCGGGGGGGTGGCCAGAAATGCCACCCAGAACACAGAGCACCAGCCCCTCTGATCCTCCTGCAGGTGGTGAGTCCACAGGAAGATGGCTGCTCTATGGCATAGCCTTGATCTTTCAGCGGGGGGTTCAGGCAAAGTGGGGTTAGGTGTCTTGCCCAAGGATGCTCTACCAACACTGCTCTACCAAGTTATCTTTATTTATATAGCAGGTGAATCAAACATCATGCCAAGGCCAATTGTTACTTAAAGAAACTATCTTCACACAGATGCACACACAATCTGTCTATTTGAGGACTGTGTTTTATCATGTAAACAATGTTATAATGTACAATGTTACAATATAATGATCATAACACTCTCCTTCCAACCATACAGCCAAGCAATTCATGAGTTAGTACAACCACGGTCCGCACAGAATGTCCCAGAACCCTGTACCATTACTACTAGCAATTTCAGTTCTGTTCTGGATTCTTCTTGGGGATATTTTCACTCTCTTTAACCCCTGTTCGTGTCGACTTGTAAATAGTGTAAAGACTCGTACCACACAGACTAATACTAAAGCCAACTTAGAGTTAAATTATGAAATCAATAACGGTGAATAAGAATAAACCCAAAAGGAAAAATAAACAAGATCGTTGTATCTTTTATTTCTCTCTTTTTTAGAAGAAGTGCGGGGTCAGCTTGAGGCCCAGGGCCAAAAGCACCAAGCTGAATAGGCCTCGTCTACCTTATTTGTTTTAATTTTGGTCCTTAAAAATACACATTATTATTATGTTATGTAAACCAGTCTGGCCATAACTGAGAAACACTGCCATCTGGTTGTTTCTTTGGTTTACTTTTGAATGTGCTGGAAACGGCAGCAAGTCCTAAGTAGCTCTGAAACAGTTGATGTTTTGTGCTTTACAGTTGTTATCTGCACCAAAGCTACTCTGACGACACTCTGCTTTACATAAAATCAGACTCTACTTCACCTTCACTCCTGCTGTCAGCACTCTTGCTTAATTTTCTGTAGGAGATAGGCATGATTGCAGACAATTTCCTCCAGGTAAATGGTCAGAAGGCATGTTTTTCTGTACCTCCAACCAGACCCAGTCATCCCCCATCCGTTTTCTTGTCATATTTCCTTGTGAGCTCAAGCTCACCAAACACCTTTCATCTGCCACCGTTCCTTCCTCCATATATGTGAAAAAAAAAAGAACATTGCAAAACTCACATTTTAGCATCTCATGGGACTGCACCTGCCTACACCAAAGACTGCGTGGACAAGGCTAACCTGAAAATAAAGTGCCCATTGTGAAGATCTTCTTCTACTCACTTTGGGCCCCCCTGACTTTTTCTTAAAAAGTAAACTCCTCTAACTCTGCAACACTTTTCAGGGTTACACAACAAAGAGGTTTACCCAAGCTTTAATGTAAGCAAGCAGTTGTAATAAAAGTTTGAGGCGGAAATGCTTAAAACTATTTATGGATACAATACATTTGCTTAAAAAGGCAGAAAAGCTCTCCACTATGATGAAACTGAGCAGACAGATCCAGTGCTAAGGGGTCCAGTCTGTGCTATAACTTCCTAAGATTAGTATGATTTAAGGTAAAAATAACAACAAGTCTGTTCAAAATGAGGGAAGAATTCTACATATTTAAAAACTCAAAAAGTCTATTTTACTGAAAATGCGTACTCATAGAATAATGACGGTCAATTTTGCTTAGCTTTGGAGATTGAGCAGTGACAAGCAAGTATGCCTACCTAATCTTGCTACCAAAGTCAGAAATATGACTAAATCTAAACAAAGCCAGCAAAAAATAAAACTAGTCCAAACTATTTATGCATTCAAGTCCAATTAAGTCCTGTATAAATGGATTTTTGCAGCGTAAGAATATGTGAACTGGGCTGTGAAGGATTAGATAGCATAAACATCAGGCTGAAGCACGACTGGAATGTACAGACTGAACAGGAGACCGTGTTTTTAGAGCGCGTTTGGGGGTCAGCTGCAAGAGAGCAGATAAACTATACTATCCAAATACAAGAAAGCATATAAACGGCGCAAGCAAAATAAAATTGCTCGTTTTCAACTCGCCGTGCGCAAATATGTCATGGTGCGAAGTGAAAGGTTTGACATCGCACTTGGAATACCTAACAGTGGAGAATATACAAACCACAATAATGTGAACGACCTGAAGGGGGTGCAAGGGTCAGCCGCAGAACCGCTAATAAAAGCTCATTTTGAAGGAAATGAGGGCCGCTTGCCAAAAGTGAGTTCAGGCATTTGCTGATAGATATGAAGAGACAATACAAATCTATGGTTTAAATGCCAGTGGTAAAATGCTCACTCCACACTAAACTGTACCATTGGTCGCTCTAACTTCAAGCGCCGACGTAACAATCGTGTCCACTTTTGTTACGTCCAAAACGGCCGTCTTAGAGCACTGTTAATACTACGGATGAGAACGAATCTTTGTTTAAGTTGTGCCCCCTTCACTGGACAAACAAGCTGGAGACAAAACAAGAGTGGGTCTTTGAACATTCAGCAGTAATGGCCGCGGACATTTCGGGACTTTTTCATGTCATTGACCAAAATGTAACACATTGATACAGTTTAGTATGGAATTAATTATTATCATTATTTCAATGGATGAGGGTTAACGCACCAGAGGTATTGTGTGACGCCAAGTTATCACCATAAAATCCCCCGAATCTCAATCTTAGACTCCACCAACACAGTGGCTGATCCACCGGTGTGTGTGCTCTACATACGTATTACAACATATATAGGAGAGTCACAGCTTCTGAGATATGACCCACTGAACATTTCCTTTACTGGCAATCAGGCAGCACATTTAGGTAGAAATCTCCCCACATGTTCAGGAAATAAAAATAGGTCCTGGTTCAGAAGGGCCATAGGCATTGTTTTTCATTGGCAGCCTATTCAGCCTACACCTCCAACATACCCCCATGAATAAATAAGTTGTAATTATAATATGTGCTAAAAAAAAGAACAAGATTTCATATTGTAAAATATAATTATTTTTTTTGACTTTTTAGTGTAACTTGCAGTTAATAATGATAAAATCATGCAATTATCGTGATTACAGTTATTGTTTCTATTGTTGCCCACCACAAATTCTTAATTGAAAAAAAAACATGGTCTATATTAAAATTTCTCAGTGCGAGTGATTGTGTGCGCTGGTTTTAGTTATATTTGTGGTCAAATTTTACAGCAATAAGAAAAAAAACAACATAATGATCCATTAAAAAAGAAGATGATAGATCCGTCTGTCTTCTCACAGCTCAGAAAGCTTGAGCCAGTCATTTGGATGTGTTGGTGTGATTTCAGTAAAACATGGTGTGGTGTAATCCTGACCTGCGTGGTATGCCACTGACCCCCTGCTCCAGCCCGGATGTCTGTTCTTGGGGTAGTCCTGGAAACAGAACAGCCAAACATCACCGATACATTAAGAAATGGGTGACAGCTTATAGCCTTTATGACCAATATAATTGTAATATAAATACGCCTGGGAAAAACTTATTTTCACATTAGCACATTGTCTTCTTGTAGTACATTGCAGTATATTTTTTTTCCTTATTCAGTTTATGATCAAATGTAATGTTTAATTGGTAAACTTTCTCCAGTTTGGACTCTGTAGAAGTTGGATGATTAATCAGAAACATAGACACAGGAATGCTGTTCCTTATCCAAATCTACTGCGAATAGTGCCAGGTCTGAACTGGAGAAGAGGATTCCTGAAGACACTGGTCAAATACTGCTCCAAGAACACCCTGGTTGATCCAAGGATGTTAGTGAAACACCAACACAATTACTGCTGATTAAACATATTCCAATTCAAACAAGTCAGCCCAGCAAGTCCATTGCTGGGCTGGAAGCAACATTAAAGACACTGTTTTTAGCTAGTGAGGATAGACAGCATAGGTTTGGACATACACCATACAGTAAGTGCGCCAGCCAAATTCCTCAAAAGGAAGCCATCAGTAGTGTTCGGAGCAGTTGTTCTGATATCTCTACAGATGTTGGTGACACAGTTCACACATTAAACATGACAAAAGTGCACTTATTGCCCAGGCATCTGTACTAGGCAGCAGTCCTCTGCTCAGATTAATTTTTCCACAAATATGTCTGAAAGAATAACAAAAGCGGTCTTATCCTTGATTATCCAAAAATACACTGTTTCCAAACTGGCAATGACTACAGATATTTTTAGATTTACTAAAACACCTGTGAGGGGAAACCACCGTAGAAAATAAACTGGCTGATTGGACCAAATGAAAACATTAGAAAGTCTGTTTGACAAGTGCATAGAGAAAACGGAAAGAGAGGTGAGAGGAGGAATGAGGGAAGAGGCAGAAACATAGTCACAGGAATGCTTTTCCTTCTCCAAATCTACTCCGAATAGTGCCAGGTCTGAACCGGAGCTGAGGATTCCTGAAGACACTGGTCAAATACTGCTCCAAGAACACCCTGGATGATCCAAGGATATTAGTGAAACACCAACACCATTACTGCTGATTAAACATATTTTATAAACTATAGCTCATATATTTACCTAAGTTGACTGAATCAATGATCTTATAATGAATGATACTTTATAACACTCATGGTTAAATGTAAACTTTTGAAAAGAAAAAAAGTAATGCACACTAACAAAACTACTTTTGAAAAACTAGTGTAACGCATCAATTACAATTTAGTAACAAAAAGACGTTTACTTTTCGATCCGCCGCAACATTACTTTTTCTTTACCATGGGAATCTGTGACCATGACTCATCTGCTGGCTGCTTGCACATCAGTCACAACTCGCGCAAGTTCTCATTCAACATTGTATGTGACAGTATGAGGATGGCCTCTAGTGGTAGCACAAAGACGAGCCACAATTGCAAGCGAAAAGCAACCAACAACAAAAAATACCATTATGCGGTTATTAGGGCTTTCAAACGGTAAAAATTTTGAATCGAGTTAAATTACAGCTTAAACATTTATCGTAATTAATCACATTTCGAACTAACGGCAAAATGATGCCGTATGTTTCTGTAAATGGTTGTTTAAATGAAAAAAAAAGCTTGTGTATGAATATTTACAATCTATGGCATGAATTCAGGCAATAAAAAGTGCTGAGTAGAAACTTTGCGTGACGCTCTTCTACGCCTCCCTAGCGTCTGCAGCGCATGTAAACAACAACAGCATGGTAGAGGAAGGTGGCTATACCTCGTCTGGCTGTAACTGCATACACAGCAGTAAAACAGCCCAAAAGACGCAAAAGTGAGGAGGAGAAGAGGGAACTAAAGCGAAAAAAGGATCTAAGAAGAAATCAAGCCTAGGTGAACATAGCTATCTTACATCGTATTCTCTGGAGAGACCTGCGGGTGCGGGCTGCCTCAGACTACATTTGGACGCGAAACTAGCAGTAATCTTTTAGTTATTGTACTGTATATTTTGTTAGCAGTGCGTTGCTTTGGTAACCCATTCCATCAGCGATTGCTGTATAGCTTATAAGAAGTTGTGCTAATGCTAACTATTGCCTACCTGCTCTGTCACCATCTCACACGCATGTGTAATTATAATAGATCCATAATGTGTCCGCGTCACTTCTGAGTGTTAATGAGATGCATGGGCGGGTAATTTGCCACATGCGTTAATTTCTTTAACGCGATTAATGAAAAACATTTATTAACGTGCGTTAATGCCATGATTTTGACAGTCCTAGCGGTTATACAAAAAGTGTTTAATGGTGAAAAAACTACCACTAAGGTGGATTGTAAAAGACACTAAAAACCCTTTATTTACACTGAATTCATATATACATATATATATATATATATATATATATATATATATATATATATATATATATATATATATATATATATATACAGTGCCTTGCGAAAGTATTCGGCCGATAAATAGAATGCACCTGTGTGTAATCAAGTCTCCGTATAAATGCACCTGCTCTTTGATAGTCTCAGGGTTCTGTTTAAAGCGCAGAGAGAACCATGAAGACAAAGGAACACACCAGGCAGGTCCGAGATACTGTTGTGGAGAAGTTTAAAGCCGGATTTGGATACTAAAAGATTTCCCAAGCTTTAAACATCTCAAGGAGCACTGTGCAAGCAATTATATTGAAATGGAAGGAGTATCAGACCACTGCAAATCTATCAAGACCCGGCCGTCCCTCCAAACTTTCATCTCAAACAAGGAGAAGACTGATCAGAGATGCAGTCAAGAGGCCCATGATCACTCTGGATGAACTGCAGATAACTACAGCTGAGGTGGGAGAGTCTGTCCATAGGACAACAATCAGTCGTGCACTGCACAAATCTGGCCTTTATGGAAGAGTGGCAAGAAGAAAACCATTTCTCAAAGATATCCATAAAAAGTCTTGTTTAAAGTTTGCCACAAGCCACCTGGGAGACACACCAAACATGTGGAAGAAGGTGCTCTGGTCAGATTAAACCAAAATCGAACTTTTTGGCCACAATGCAAAACGAAATGTTTGGCGTAAAAGCAACACAGCTCATCACCCTGAACACACCATCCCCACTGTCAAACATGGTGGTGGCAGCATCATGGTTTGGGCCTGCTTTTCTTCAGCAGGGACAGGGAAGATGGCTAAAATTGATGGGAAGATGGATGGATCCAAATACAGGACCATTCTGGAAGAAAACCTGTTGGAGTCTGCAAAAGACCTGAGACTGGGACGGAGATTTATCTTCCAACAGGACAATGATCCAAAACATAAAGTCAAATCTACAATGGAATGGTTCACAAATAGACGTATCCAGGTGTTAGAATGGCCAAGTCAAAGTCCAGACCTGAATCCAATCGAGAATCTGTGGAAAGAGCTGAAGACTGCTGTTCACAAACGCTCTCCATCCAACCTCACTGAGCTCGATGTGCAAAACTGATAGAGACATACCCCAAGCGACTTGCAGCTGTTATTGCAGCAAAAGGTGACGCTACAAAGTATTAGCACAAGGGGGCCGAATAATATTGCACGATAATTTTTATATCATTATGTTTGAAGCCTGAAATGTGGCGAAATGTTGAAAGGTTCAAGGGCGCCGAATACTTTCGCAAGGCACTGTATTAGGGCAGTCAAACAATAAAACAAGGGAACCCTTGTTCCCTTGTTTTATAAGGTTTTATAAGGGTACAAGGGAAAAATTAGGTACCCCAGCTTTAATTTAGCGAGTTTAGTTGCGCTTCAGGAGGAGACACGGACACTTCCTGAGGCTCCTTAGTTCAGCTTCAGCGGTGTACTTATTGCATGCACAGGTTACGCGAAGACACGAACACAACAAGCAGAGAATAGTTGTGTGCGTGTGTGGTCTTGGAATTGACGTTACGGCATGCCATTTGCCATGTTGGTGTCAAAGCGGCTCACTGCCGCAGGAGGTGGGAACCGCTGTCCAGAGCCACGGAGGATGCAGAATAATCGAGTGCACTGTCGCCATCTTACACAAGCATGTTGCCGCAGTCATGGGCGGGTCATTCAGCACATGCATCAAATGCGTATTTTTTTTAATAAGATTAATGAACAAAATTAATTAACGTGCGTTAAAGCGATAGTTTTGACAGCCCTAATTTACATTAACTCTGCCAATACAATAATAATAATTACCTGGATTCAACATTACAACTTGCAACCTCTCGCACCAAAGTCTGGCACATAACAAGTGTGCCACTTATGTTGTTTCAAACCAGGCAGTTTTAGACGTCATTTATCATTTACTTGCCGTTATACGCGTCATTTGTTGACTATGTAATTTTTCACGCCATTTTTTGTCTTCCAACCATTTTAGATTAGGTGTTTTGACCAATGACACAACGGCAGCAGACAATGAAGTAGATCTCAAGGAAGGATTAAACTCACAGCCATTGGGCACAAAGACCAATGCTCTACCAACAGAACCACTGCACCACCCACCTTTAAGACACCAATTGCTGTCCACATGCCAATTAAAATGCCAATTGCTGTCCACATGCCAATTAAAATGCCAATCATCGTCCACATGCCGTTTAAAACGCCAATTGTTGTATACATGCCACTGAGCGTGTCCTTACTGCATTCCTGATGGACGTCAAGTAATCACCAGTGAGCTTGTCTACTGTTGTTTTCCTGGTCGATGATTGTGTGTTCAGATGTGGACTTAGTTACCCTGGTCCTTAAACCATCTGGTGGAGTTTGTGGGTTGGGTATGGGTCCTTGTACTTTGAGTCAAGCTAAATAAGAGTGATTCAAATGCATTAAAAATATTTAATGCATTATTGTTTGTGTAATTAATTCATCTTAATGAAAGCATTCATTATTTTATATATTTATAAAACACACAAAAGCACCCTTTTAAGAATAAGAGTATCTTTACCAATTGTCGATCCTGTGCAATGCTGCAGAACCATGTCCATAT